CACATGGAGTCACTATGAATTGAAATCACTTGATGGCACCTAACAACAACAAGAAGACTAAGGCTAAAAAGTTGAATGATTTGCTTACTGTAAAATCTTGGAAATTTGCAATATTTAGATGAGAACTAAGGTTTTCATAATCCCATATTAGTTAATTACATAATGACTTTTGGTTGTCATAAAATATTACAGCAATATAAGTAAAAAAAAAAATTACATTCCATCAGAGACTGAAATCAAGAATAGAAAGATGAGAGGCACAATCAGCACAAAGAGGGTTAACAGACAATTAGAGTCAAATGTTGCTTTACAGGTAAGACCTAGGCCAACAGAAATATTAATAAAACTATAGGATTATAATTTTCAGAACAAAAATAAAATCACTGTATACAGACTACCTAAAAGAAAAGAATGAATGACAATAAACTCTAAAATGAGAAGTTTGGAAAACAAATGACTTAAACGAGTTTTCAAAAGTTTGTAATCTATGTATTTAGTAGACTTCTATATATTCATACATTTCCCAATACATAGGACAGAAAGACATTGCCACTGAAAATAAAAATGCAATGAAATATCTTACCTTGGTTTTTATGTTCTGAAAAATGTTGACATTTAAAATGTTTGATTTCAATAAATAGGGTTCTACTGACTACAGGATATTATCTTGGCTGCCCAAGCTTGAATCAAAGTTCATGGCATGGTATTTACCTAAAATCATCTTAGTCATTCTAGTTTATTTTTATTATGTGTTGTTATGGTTTTTCTTTCTGATGGCAGAGACAATCCTAAATCAAAAGAAACTTATTGCTGCATTCTGTCCGCCTGACACAGAGGAAGGTCTCCTCTGAGAGATTTAGATTATCCTGCATGTCTCGATAATGTAACATTTTCAGGGTGTCAAAGCCCTTTTAAAATCAGATAGCATCTGGAATGTAGAGATTATGGGATATATCATTTTTGAAACTGCCAAATCAGTGCTTCTACTTTGCTCTCTGAGGGTTTTTTCTAAAGAGATATTCAATGATCCTGATCTTTGAATACAGTAGATCTGTCAGGTTTCTTGGATACAAATTGGGTTAGAAATTGGGACATATCAAATTTAGTGCTTGCTGAGGAAATAACAAAGCATGCATTGGACGCTGCTTTAAAAGAGGACATTTCATAAAGATACGTAATTGTACAATCATTTTCTCTAAACCTCTTTTAGGTTTAGAAAATCTAGTCAAAACCAAAATATTAATGTTTATTCTTATAACTTCCTGGAAATATTACATCAGCACTCCTTTGTATTTTTCTAAATGGATTAAAATAAAGTTATCTGAAAGAGTGTCAAGACTCTTAAATGACTAAAACCAGGAAAATAAATTGAAAAGAAAAAAAGGAATAATACAAATAACAACAAAGAAAGCACCTATGAGGGTAAGACCGGATGATGCTACAACGCCAAAATAACTATTCAGTATTAAATAAATGAAAATAGAAAACAAAGATATAAGATAGAAAAACTGGAAATGACTATATAAACTATGTTAAATTGCATAGTTTGTCCCACCTCCTTCACATTTCCCTGTTTTCAAGCCTTTTTCCACATATGTTTGTAGTGCTCACCGACTGTGCACTGTGATTGGTCCAATCCTCTCGCTACGGGATTGGCCAATGGAATTTTAGCAGACTTGTTGCAGGCTGAGGTGCAACTGGGCTTGCTCTTGACCTTTCGCCACTGCAATAAGAACATGTCTGGGATAGCTTGCTGGTTTCATATAGAAGATAAGAGACACATGGAACAGAGCCACAGTATACCAGTTTAGATCAGCTAAACTCCAGCAACCTGAGCAAACCCAGTCAAGATCAACAGGAACACTTATGAACATTCACTTAGGATCATAGAGATCTCTCTTGGCACTATATACGTTTGCTGTCTACAGCTTTATTTGTGACAGATACAACTAAATCAGGCATAATTACCAATAATGTGAATGAAATGTTAAACAGTTGTTGTTGCTGCTGTTTTTAGTTGTCTTGGAGTCAATTCTGACTCATGGACTAATAATTTCATTAATGACAGAACAGGACTGTAACTATCTCAAGTGTGAGCAAGAGTTAACTAGGCAAATAAGGAACACATGTTTTCCATGAGTGACGTAAACACATGGTAGGAACCAGTTTATGAAGGCTGAATTGCAGAATAGAATATAATACTTTCACAAAAATTAAAGGAAATAAAGACATTGAAATAAGACACGGTAAGTTCAAAGCCAGACCATGTAGTGCTCAGTAGGTCATGTTAGCATTCTGGCATTTATCTAAGAATGATAGTCAGTATTAAATAGGTCTGATCTTAGTCTAGACTAGATTGATTCAGAAGCAATTATTGTTTATAAAATTGAGTATTTTATATTCAATCAGAAGTCTCATCTAAGATCACTGATTAGAAATGAAAGCAAGGAGGTAGACATTTAGTTCAATTGGAGGCAGTATGTGGTTAAGGACAAAAATTTTGGAATCAGATAACCAGTTTGAAATTTCTGGTCTACTTTTTATTATTTCTGTGACCTTAAGCATATCAATTAGCCTCTCTAAGTCTCAGCTTCTTTACTTTAAAAAAGTAGTGATAATATGTTTCTCTGATGAGGTGGTTTATAACAAGAGTTGATTGGTACTTTTGCTGTAGTCCGACCTTTAAAATTGTAAAGTTGTAGACATAGATACTGTGATCCCACAAATTTAGAAAAATACAAATCAGCAATGTTCCTCAAGTCAAGTGAGGGAGGTACAAAAAGAAAAAACTGTAGCAATTTTGGGTGATAAAAAGAAGGGGAAACCGACATCAGGGGCATAGTGAGAGCAACAGCACCAAGGGGCCATCTCTAAATTGTGCTCTACCCCCAATTCAAGCACCTAGGGGCAATCTCTAAATCACACCCCCCTCACTTTGAAGATGAATACACATTGATAATGGTTGACATTTCAGCAGAAACACCTTTCTTCCTCTTGTCCAGCTGCCTCAGTCAGGTGTCTTTCATATTTGTGACACCTCAGAATATCATTGTGCGCCTAGTCGGGCACTCTCTTGGACTTCTGCCAGGGAGCAAGTGTCTCTTTCTTCTCTCCCACCTCACTACACCTCTAACTGAAATCTCACTGTCTTGCTGTGTGTTTGCTGAGAAATAGGAACATATAAACCCAACTTACTTTTGCAATCAACGCAGAATGCTATGAAATGATTATTGGAAAAGTTGATGTGTGACCCTGAAAACAGAATCTTGTGCTGGTTTCTCACCTGGATGCAGCAGCCTGAGATGATAAGCTAAGAAGAGGGAACACCAGTTGAGCATCCAGCAAGGATGTGTTTCCCTCTGGTGAAGTAGGCAGATGTATGGTACAATAATGGATTGTGAGGTGGGAAATTGGCAGCAAGTGAGAAGAACAGTGAGAAGTCAGTTGGAGTACAACCTTCCCCTTAAAGGATTATTCAAGGAGGAGGCCTTCCTCCAGGGTCTTCGGAAGATCTCAGGCATGCACCTCACCATTCAAATGGATTTTGGGTGTCTGACCAACAAGGAGCATCAATAGCCCAACATTATATAAACAGTCTTTGCCCTTCCTTTCTACCTCTCCATCCATGCCAATCCTGAAGAATCCTGATGTAGGAATCATTTGGCAGAGAAAAACCCAAACCAAACCTGTTTCCATTGAGTCAATTCCGACTCATAGTGACCCTATAGGACAGCGTAGAACTGCCCCACGGGGTTTCCTAAGAGTGGCTGGTGGATTCAAACTACTGACCTGTTAGTTAGCAGCTGAGCTCTTAACCACTGCGCCACCAGGACTCCTTGACAGAGAAGGAGGGGCAAAAATTCTGACCTTTCTTCCTTCCTTCCCAATTTGGGTACCAACAGTCAGGATGGCTCTATGGTTATGTAGAACACTTTGAAGGGATATGGAGTTGACTTTGATTTACAGTGGCCATGAATTTTTATATCTGAGAGTCTTAATTACTGGAATGGAACTACTGTTTCAACAATATTTAATAAAGAGCTATAGCCTCTATCTAGAAACCCCAGAAGGCATAGGAGAAGGAGATTTTATAGGGCATGGTTGAAAGAAATAATTGGAGAAAAAATAAATCTGATTCAATTCAGTACTCTAATGAGTTAATACCGTTCAATATACTGGTTCATAAAGAAGTAATGAGATGTTAGTTGGTAAAGCTCTTAAGACAGTAGGGGCTCAATAAATGTTAGCTGCTTTTAAAATTGCTGTTGTTACAATTTAAAAAAATATATAAAATTTCAATGTGATCTAAAATGGAAAGGGCTGTATTGAATAGTAACAGTGGAAATTACAAAAGCAAAGACTAGAGAGCCATGTGTCAGTCATCATACAATAAACATTCTGAACTTGAATAGAAGATTATTTTATGGTACCTTTAATTCTAGGATTCTATTATTCTAAGCATAAATTATTTTTCCATTGTGGGCAAAACATCCCATTTTTTTTTCTCAAATTAAATAAAGAATACAACTCTTTTTACATTTTTAAATTTAAAGAAACAGATTATTTCTTTTTATTGTCTAAGAGCATCCGCTATTAAATCAATATCATTCATCCTTTTGCTTTAGAGCATTAGCTGCCTTTATCAAATGCAAATCATAAAAAATTTACCTGTCAGTATTCATTCTTTGATGGCTCTTTCTTAATTTTTCAAAATGATACTGACATAAATTGAGTGAAACATCACTACAATACAGCTAGAAGTGTCTGGCAAGGGACTGAGTTTTTATAATAGTTACTTATTTTCCTTTGTACTAAGTCATTTTGAGCTTCTGCATAAAGGATATTTCAACAACAGCAAAACAGATCAGAGGGTAAGCAAATCATTTCTTTTTTCTTTTTTTTTAAGCAGCTGTCATTTTCAGAAACGAAAAGCATCGTAAGTCTCCCAACTCAGAAAGCAAAGCATTTTGTTCCAAAGTTGCAGGTAGTTCCATACTTACATCTTGATTGGTCATTTCCCAATAGGGTCTTTCGCCATAAGACACAACCTCCCACATCACTATTCCGTAGCTCCAGACATCACTGGCAGAGGTAAACTTTCGAAAAGCTATTGCTTCTGGGGCAGTCCATCTGATTGGAATCTTGCCTCCCTAAAATAGAAAAAGAATTTTTAAAATTCCCTCATACTTCAAATGTATCTAGGGATACTGCTGCCTCACTGAAGAGAACTAGAAAGAGATGTAGCATTTTTAAGTGAATCTATTTGACAGCATGTAGTCTCTTTTCACGTATCTCGGACCATAAGCTCTTGTAGACTGACCACTAATTGGCTGTCCTGAAGGTTTTTACTTTAAATTCTGCTTGACTACTAGAGCACATACAGGATCCACATCTCAATTACAGTACTCAGGATGGCAGCCCTAAGTAGGGGAAAGCAGGCAGTCAAGCAAATCAATAAGGTATGCTTTCATGACTTTCTAACAGAGAGTAAAGGAGTCAAATTCCTTGCGTACTTCCCTGCCCCCTTTAATACAGGAATTGTAAGTCTAAGTTGCTGAATGGAACCCTAAGAAATTTAACAGTTAATAAGACAAACATGAAATCAGTATCTTAATAAGTATCTTAAACACTTAAAGCCACGCTTGTCCTTTGACATGGTGTTTTCTCTTTTAGATTTGCTTTTCTCTTCCTTTGGTATTTTTTTTGTTTGTTTGGTTGATTAGACTGTTTTATCAAAGAGGTAGAGGTAGGTATCATTTAATTCAACCAAATTACAAAGGACTGAAACTGGATTATGGGGAAAAATCTACATTATCAAGTTTTTTTTTTTTAATTTTTTTAATGTAGTAATTGGTATGTAGATTATCTCAGAAGTCACAAAAGAAACTTCTTTACATGTTGCGTTTTTTGGGGTAAAATATTTTTTCTCTTAATTTTTAAAAGCTGGTATATCCGGATAACCAAATAGTTTATCTTACAAGAAAATATGTATTATAGAAAAAGAGGGGTGAGTGTAGGTTTGGAATATTTTCCTGTAAAGAGACTAACATATGTATCCCCATTTTACAGGAAGGAAATACATTAAATCACATACTTAAAAAAAAATGGGACTTAAACTGCTATTTATGAAGCAAACTTTTTTCTTTTACATTAATGTCTCAATTTACTGAAAAATAACAAGGAGAATTATCTGGACTTTTGATGTTCTCTCTCTCCCTGACTTTCTCACAGGAATGCCCTTTTTGGTATTTCCTTAAAAATCTTTAAAAATTAAATTCCTCTCGTCTAGTGCTTCAGAAATGCATTCTGTTAGATCTTACCCTCGTGGTGTAGGCTGCCTCAGGATCATCTTCCAGTACCCTGGAAAGTCCAAAGTCAGACACTTTGCACACAAGGTTACTGTTGATTAAGATGTTTCTGGCAGCAAGGTCTCTATGCACATAGCCCATGTCAGAAAGGTACCTCATTCCAGCAGCGATGCCTCTCAGCATACCAACAAGCTGAATTACAGTGAACTGCCCATCATTTTTCTGTAAAGACAGTGTAGAAATATTAGTCTAGCAACATCAATCACTGGGGAAAATATCAAAGGATCTTCCTTCAATTCCCAAATTAATATTATCACCCCATCAAAATCATATGCAATTTTTATCTGAGGGAAAATGGAAATAGCTCGGAAAAATATAGTTAACTTGGTAAAGTTTATCAGTCCTCTGCCTGGTCACAGTAGCTAAAGGCTTTGAATGCCCTTGTCAAATATATCATTATGCCGCCCTTTACTATATTGTAACTCTTTCATTCTGAGTCATCAGAGGAGTGTGTTCTTCACCCCAACCTAGCGCCTGCGCATTTTTTGAAGTGAATTCAAAGAAGCTAGTTGGATAGGCATGTTGAGGTACAGATGAAATGGCCAGCGGAGATAAGAGAAAATAAGGGATTTTCTGCACAGCACATGGACAGAGATGACCGAGCAATGTTTGCATTTCTTCAGAATGGCTGTCTTTGGCAAGGGCAAAGAACTTACTGCGGTCACACAGAATACGGCCACAGGACGCTTATTTTGAAATAAAAGAATGATATGACTTTAATAGACATAAGGACTTGGAGATGTGGATAGAAAATTTGGGAACAGAATATAGTAGAGGCTGGAGATTGAAGGAAAATTTTGCCTTATCAGTAGACTACCATCAAATCCCTCGCACAGGCCGGTCATTTAATTGTCATCAGTGCTATTGCCCTGTGAATTTCCCTAATCAATAATAATAGTCCCTATATTGAAAGTAAGGAGAGCTGGTGACGCAGTGGTTAAAGCGCTCAGCTGCTAACCGAAAGGTTGCAGATTCGAACCCACCAGTCGCTCCACGGGAGAAAGATGTGGCAGTCCACCTCTGTAGAGAGTTACAGCCTTGGAAACATTATGGGGCAGTTCTATTTTGTCCTTTGTGGTCGCTTTTAGTCTGAATTGACTTGATAGCAGTGAGTGGGTGGTGGGGTATATTGAAAGTTACAAACTGTCAACTTACAGTTTTAATCAGGTCTGCAAATATGTTCATTGTTAAGCACAATATATTTAAAAATAAAATAAACTTGTCAACATTTAAAATTTGGAGACTTGCACATTAAAAAAAAATCCTGAAAAATTTGATAATATTGGTTACCACTAAGTGGTTAGTTTGCTGGTGTAAGTAATGGCTGGCCTTCAGATGAGGTATGAGAACTTCGGGCTCCACAGACCCTCATTGACCTCTTCATTGATACAGATGATTCGCATGGATCCTTTGGACATCTGTCCTTGCTCTACCTGTCATTACGTACTTTGAGGAAGTTAAGTGATCATAAACATTTATTTCTTTTTTCCTCTCCCCACCTCCTCTCTCCTCTTCTCTCCTGTCCTTCCCTCTCCTTCTTTCTCCTTCCAGCCCCTCCTTCCCTCTCCACACCTCACATTTCCTTTCTGTTTCATTTATTTTCCATCCTTCCTCCCTCCCTTCCTTCTCTCCTTCCTTTTGTGAATTAACATATACTTAAGTAAAAGTGTAAAACAAGCAAACAAACAAAAAAAAAATGTCAGTAAGTCAATTCTGACTCATGGTGACCCCTTGTATAAGTTTTATGAAAAGAAAAATTTTCAAACCAAAATGAATCATTGCAGTATAATCTTTCTGATTTCAGATATTTCTATCCTATTTAAACCTTTATCTTTAAAGTGGCTCAATGTCATCTTCAACATTAAGGTCGATATATAAATAACACTTTGAATAATTAAATTAATCACAAATCTTACCTTTAAAAATGTATCTAAAGAGCCATTCTCCATATATTCTGTCAATATCATTACTGGTTTACCTGGAAAGAAAACATAGTAGATAAACTGCTGCTCTTTGATATTACATTCTTATCCAGGTAAAGTTTGCCTGGAAATTTTTATTAGTGTCCAAATGATTTTTATTCATAAAACGAAGTCCTCTTTGAGTAGTGAATTAATTCTTTATATAATGATACCTTAGTGTAATGGATGAGGTCAATGAGAAGGGGATCATAAGAATAATAAAAAAGATGACATTTAAAATATAAAAAATAAACACACAGTTGCCAGTACAAGAATAAATTTATGTAGAAAATGAGTTTAAGGGTGAATTCCATTTTAATAGAGGTAATAAATTATGTGTGAAATAATATCCAGCAAAGCACTGCAAACATACCCATCTTTCTCACTATTCTAAATAAAAACACCTATCTAATCTAAATGGTCTGTTTATAATCCTTTAAATATGTGTGTCACTTTCCTAACTTTATTTCTATGTTCCTGTAACTCCCTTGCTGAAGACTTCTTCCGTTTTCCCTCTTCACCACGCACAATCTCTATTAACCCTTTTTTATTTTTTCACACTTCAGATCACTGTTCTAATTTCCCTTGCATCTGAAACTTTTCTTGCAATCATCATTCCCCTGAAAGGGCTCTTCCTTTCATATCTGACACATAAGTATAGCCTAGAGGTTAGCTGGGCAAACTCTGGAGCAACACTGCTTGACTTAGAATCCCAAATCAATCACCTGGTACTGAGTAACTCAATTATCATTTCCGTAACTCAGTTCTCTTATCTGTAAAATGGGATTGTTGTGAGTTTCCACCAAGGCATATATTTCTGCAAAGCACTTAGAACAGTGCTATCACATAGAATTTGCTATTTAAGAGTTAACTATTATTGTTTTAGAGGAGTCCTGGTGGCGCAGTGGATAAAGCGCTCGGCTGCTAACCAAAAGGCTGGCAATTCGAACCTTCCAGCCACTCCATGGAAGAAAGATGTGGCAATCTGCTTCCATAAAGATTTACAGTTGGAAACCCTACGGGGCAGTTTTACTCTGCCCTACAAGGTCACTATGAATGAGTTGGAACTGATTGCACAGCTGTGGGTTTTGGTTTTATTATTATTTTATAAACTTTAACAACTTTGTTTCTGTGAATATTCTTCTTTGCTAGGTGTAAGCTAAAAGAATATTATTCCCCATGAAATTATGACACTTTGCACCAAATAGGTCTGTGATACAAAATGAAAAATAAGAGATCAGAAACCATTGCTATATCAGAAAACATCTAAAACATGGTTGCTAGTTTTATCACTTCACTGCATTTTAAAGCACTCCTCTTTACTCTTTAATAGTAATATACTACATAAAATTTAAACCGTTTCGCGATAAGGACAAGGGGACCTTAGGACAGCAAAATAACTCTTATACTGTTATTAATTAACTTTTTATATTATGAGGGAAAGCAAAGCCTATGTAATCATCAAATGCATTATAATTAAGTTAATGGCAGTATCCTGAAGAGTGTCTGCATTTTACTTGAGAAGTGATTAATTCAGGTCCTTGAATTAGAGCTTGCATATTTATATGTAACACAATACCACGAATGCAGATACGAAGGTGGAAAGTTAGATTGCTTACATATGAAAAAGATTTAACTGGAAATAAAAAGGACTTTTTCGTTCCAAGATAACTTAAAACTCACTGTTTAGAATAATAAGATAGAACAGTCTAATTTCTCATTCATATAATTGTCTTCTTTTAAAATACTTTAGAGGTAATATTCTTTTAATGGAATGTGACAAATACGTTACAAAGGCAGGCACGTTTTTCTCATCCTCTTTAATGTTTATAGAACTTAGAAAAAACTTTATGTAAAATAATTCATTTGACATATATTTGTAGGTGCCTGCATTAGGCAAGGCATTGCACATGCTGACATTGCGCATTGGAGATGTCATTTGATTTGAACTTTGAAGAGTGGAGGGGTCACTGGTGTAATAAGAGGTGACAGATATTCCAGGCAGAGGGAATAGCATATGCCAAGGCATCTTGTCATGAAAGAGCCCATAAAGTTCAAATATAGCTAGAACTCTGGATTTTTCTTTTTCTTTTTTTTTTTAATGATAAAGTGACAGAAAATGAGATAGAGAATACTGATTTTAAAAGTGAGTAGGAATGCAGTTCCTTAGTTATTAAAAAGAAAAAAAAAGGCAAAAACAGTGATTTGGATTGTATTTGTAAATGGCTCTGACAGCACAAAAATTTTTTAAAAAGAGATATTTTTCTCTGTAGTATAACTAATGAAGAGAGAAATGCTTCCAATTTAAACTTTATTTTAATTATATTGTCACACCTATCTTAATGAACTTCAGAAAAACTGTGAAAAAGACAAAATTTTGCTTTGGGCCCTTTTGGTTTCACATTCACATCTCAGAGCCCATTTCAACTGTTGTCGATGGGTATGCGTAGTACAAGTCAGAATTTATGCCAGCCCTAGTGCTGCAGTAGGATTCCAGAGCATAGCCTATACCAGACATTACCCCTTCATTTGTTGGATTTCAGAGGGTCGAAGTATCCAGTGAGGGAGTTGAACAAGCATATAAATCGGGCACATGGACAACTGTAGCATTAACTTTTTACTGTGGTATACAAGTATTTCAATAATTTTAGATCCATTACAGCCAAAAGAGTATGTACTTTCTGGACATCAGCCGTGATTGAACTCGAAAGAGGCCTAGATTTTCTGGTATCAGTCTGTGATGAGGATTTTAGACTTATCCCAATCTTCCTGTGTTGCTCTTCTACTTTGATTCTTTCTCATCTCTCCCCTTACAGAAATCCATGGAAGGGATTGTCATAAAGCATTGGAAGACCTAAGTTCCAGTAGAAATCCACATCAGATTTCTTTAACTGGCACATCTCTGCTCAAACCACATGAGCAGGCACCCATAAAAGAGAAAGATTAATCTATGTGTATCATTATCTACTTAATTCCAAGTCCTTTATGTTTTCAGGGCTCTCTCTCTATTTCTCCTAACAACACTATCATTTTTCCGCTTTTCTCTTTTCTGGAATTACTTCTTTCTGCCTCACTCTTTCATTTTTTAGACTCTCTTCTTACAGTTATGGGTCACTGGTAAATATTTATCCTTCCTTGCCAAGGCATAGTAAGCAGAAATTGATTAGAATTCTTGTGTAAAATTATCTCTTTCTTGGGTTAGTTTGTATTAAATTCAACCCAAAATTCACTGAATTTAGAAGAAACATTTATTCTCTAAAGAAAATGTACGGATCAGAAAGCTTATTAACACTAAATAGACATTTGGGAAGAAAAAGTAACTATTTTTTAGGGAGATGGAGATCTTGTATTCATGCTATAAGATGTTGTAGCTTGAATCACCTAATTTTACAAGTCAGATTATTTATGACAGGGTAGATCATAATGTCAAAAACAAAAATGATATGGAGAGAACCTAAAACACCTCTCATATTTCAGAAAGTGAAGAAAAGCAATTAAAACAAATGTTTGCAAGCAAGCATGATCTTCTTTGGTTGACAAGAATAAGACACTTCAGGAGATCCATTCGATTATTTTTTAATTTTTTTTTCATGCTTGAGTCATTTT